GGGGAATCGGGAGCTGCTGAGGGATGGTAGGTGGCTTTCTTCTTCAGGGGGCCCGGTGGCACCCGTGGCAGTGTGCCCATCCCTGCGAGGGGTGGCTCGGGGGGCACCCACTTCCTGGGAGCTGCTGTGCCCAAAGGGACTATGGATACCTCGGGTGGGGTAACCAGTGTGCAGGAGATCTGAAGTCAACTGTGGTAAATTCTGGCTTGGAGATCGACTTGACAAACTTTGAGGAGAAATGCTGGATAGTTCAAAAGGGATTTGGGCCAAAAAGCTTTTAGTGCATAACTGACTCGCTCCAGTGATTTCCTTCCAAAGGCAGGCTGGGAACTTGGGATTGTTTGTAATATTGTTATCCCGAAGTGGATGGTCCAATAATAGGAGGAAGTTCAGAGCGTGTTTTCGTTAAGCCGTGCCTGGAGAAGTTATGAAGTGGATGTTCAGAGTCCTTGGAGGAAGTGAAAAGAACAGACCATAAAATATCTCCAAAATCCAGTAGTTAACAGTGAAAACTTCAAATGTTCTTCCTCAAAATTGTCTGTGATAAGGCAGTGTAGTGAAGCGTTTGACTGTAACAATATGTGATAGCAGCAGAAGAAACAACTTTTTATTATCCTTCATTTCAGTTCTGGTGTCAGGTTGAATTTTTTCCTGATCTATTCTCTGGACACGTTTTATGACATCTGCAATTAAACTTTAAGCATTCCGTTGATCAGGGAGCGAAATCCCACTGCACATCTGTGCAGATACTGCAAAGTGCCCCTGACTGCTCTGACCGTATTTCTAAGAACAGTTTGGGTTTGAGACTTTGCTTTTCTCTCTCGCCTTCAGCACAGATGATTTTATTGGCAACGGAGAGTTGGGCGCTGGAGCGGAACGAGGCGCTTCAGGTGCACGTGCTGGCGCGGGGCTGTGCCCGTCGCTCTGCTGTGAAGTGTTCACGAGTCTTGGCGTGTTTGTACTGGGTTGAGAATTTCTTCCATTAAAACTTCTTCCATGAAGATTCTACCAGGTTACTCCTCTGTGAGTGCTCGTGCTGCAGCTGTACGTGGTCTCTGCGTTCGTGGTTGTGCAGCATCGAGGCTTTGGTTGCTGCTCTTCCCAGTGGTCGGATTTCTCTGGTGGTCCTTGTTCTGTGGGGTAGTGCCTGTGTGAGGCCCGGGAGGAGCTCTCAGGGAATTCTTGGCTCTTGCTTCTGGAGTTCCTATTAGGATGTCTCACTTCTGCGAAAGCCATCTGCGCGCCGGATCACTTCGACAGCATCCTGCGACTCCCGAGCAGCACCTTCTGCCACGGGGTGACAACCCTCCCCCAGTAAACTGCTGGGTATCAATCCTGCCCTTTGCAGGGAGGCACAATATCCTGAGTGTTGGTGTCTGATATCGTAACATGCAGCGACGTCCATGTGCACTCTGAGAACCAGGGAGGGAGCCCTGCAGCGCTGCGATCCGGCCGAAAGCAGCTGAGGTGGAAGCTGACTTTGAAGTTTTTGCAAGTATGATGAGTTGTTCTGTGTTGTGCAAAAGTTTCTGTGTTTTCAAGGCCATACTGACCAGACTATGTATAGTAAACAGTTAATGGCTTCTCTGCTTTTCTTAAAATTCAGTTTTCAAGTGCTGACCAAGTAAGAAGCAAATCTAACGCAGCTGGATGCTGGTCTTTAAAACGGAGTGGCAGGGAGCCAACTGGCTGCCCCTCTGCTCTTCACACTACAATAGGAAAAATGCCTGGAGTGGGAAACTCCCTTCCCCTCAGCAGTGGGCCAGAGGAAGTTAACTGTGCAGACCCCACTGTGCTGCAAACACTAATTCAGTGTGGGACAGACCTCTCAAGATCACTGGTCACACTGCTAGTGTAAAGAGTGGCTAGTGGCCAGCTGAGTAGGAGACTTCATTTGGATCGTTTCCTGGTGTTTACTTTCCCTGTTGCTGGGCATCACTGACCAAACACCTTCCCTTTGCTGCAAAATCAATAGTCAGGTAGAGCTGGTGGCTGTCAGTGTTACAGACAGACTCCACTGCTATCTGACTGTTTTTTTCTGTATTAAGATGGGTTTTTTAATTGATAAGAGGGGATCATTTATTGTAAGTGATGCTGTGTGCAGCCCATGAGGGCCCTGGGGTGCTCTTGGTGCAGCCTCCAACCTGCTCCCCGGAGCTCTCCCCATCCTGGCACGAGGCAGCAGCACCCTGGCTGGTCTTGGCTTTTGGTGTTTATGGATTTCTGGTCTTTTCAGCAGCCTCGTTGGCACATTACCTGGAACAGTGGCATGCTGATGCCAGCGAGGGAGAGTGTCGGGATCTGGGTGCAAACCAGTGGTGCAGGGCTTTGCTGCTTTGCTTTCCTGGGGAGTCTGTATTTAAAAACAGCTCAGTAACTGTGGGTGCTCTGTCCCTCCCAGGCCATGCAGTACATGGAGCTGATCCCGAAGGAGATGCAGCCGGTGGCGGGGACGGACGGGGCGTACTATCGCCGGCGGCAGCTGATGAGACAACTCCCGCTGTACGACCAGGACCCGTCCCAGTGCCGTGGCCTCGCGGAGGGCGAGCTGAAGCTGATGGAAGAATTTGTGAAGAAGTACAAAGCCGAGGCGCTGGGTGTTGGAGAGGTGGCACTGCCAGGCCAGGGTGGCAGCGGGAAGGAGGAGGGGAAGCCCCAGGACAAGAGCATCGCTGCCGGCAACCCCCCTGCATCCACCAACGGGGCCCTGGAGCGCGCACCCGCGGCAGGACACTACGTAAGCGCCGTGCTCTGGGGCGGGGGGGTGTCCTGGCAGGGGTGTCTCGGCTCCGCTCCGGGCTTGGGGAGCCTTCAGGGCATGGATTCAGTCTCACTTAGAGGGGGAGAGCTATTGTAGCAGCCAGGGTTATCTGTTCCTTGTTCACAATGCTGCTCCCACGGGCTTCTCCGAGTCTGCTGCGGTGCGTTGTCAGACGACCGGAGCAGCGCTGCGGCGCTCGGTTGCATCCTGGTGTGCTTTGGCACAGCACTGGGAAGGACCCCGGAGAGACCCCTCACGTGCTCCTGCTGAGCACAGGTATCAGTCTAACAGGGGTGAGGAAGGGTGGGTCATCTGCTCTTCATCTTCCTCCCTCCCCAGCAAAAGCTGTGCTGAACCAGCGAGGCCGGTAAATTCTCTGCTAGCTGTGGGAGCTGCTGATTTCATCTCTGGGTTCTTGGCAGCTCTGAAAGATTTGGTATGACATGTCCCTGGGTGACTGTGTGTCAATAAGATTCTCAAGATCAGAAACCGTGTCTTGCTGTGCCTCAGTGGGTGTTTCCAGCTCGGCTTCCAGGCCAGTGGGAGTGGAAGGACCATGAGTGACAGTAGGTGGTGGCTCAGGCTAATTGATGCAAAGCTGGGAACATGGAGATAGTGCTCCCAGGGCTGTAATCACTCTGGGAGACTTTGAACAGACCACGCATGCCTCTAGGCATGAAAATATGTTTCCCCAGGGAAATGTTTGAGATTCCCTGCCACTCCACCCTCTGGAGTGGCCATTGTGGCTGCTGAACAAAGGCCTATCATAAAGCACAGTGAGTGAAAATACTTCGTGCCAGCCCTTGTGAGGGTCACTTGCAGCAGAGGCTTCAAAGCTGGGAAAAAATGATGTCTGAGTGTTTTTAAGGCAAGATTTTTCTAGGCGTTGCTGCACTGAGATTGTAACATGTTAAGAGTGGTTTTCATTTTCGTTCCATATTGGGTAATGTCTCCCCTCCACTATGGCCTTTTCTGTTAACATGCATCTGACACTTTCAGGGTCCAGTGATACAGTAGAAGTTTTTCACTATTGCAACAAAATACTGAATTGGACAAAGAATTTTAAACTCAAAAAAATAGCCAAAAAAGGAAGGTTTCGATTAAACACATCAATAAGTCATCGTAGCAATGAGGGTTTATTTAGACTGTGAGTTTGCCCTTCCAAATAAATACATAACTGTGATGTTATCCTTCGTAGTTTAAAGCATCATTTTTCTAGAGGCACTGGCTGAAACATGGAACAGCTTCAAAAGCAGTTGCAGAAGATCCACTGCGACGGCAAGCGGCACGGCTCAGCGCGCAGCAGGCTGCGCGGTGCCGTGGTTTCTTGCTGTGCTGAAGACAGACCCTCCTGTATCTCACTCCAGCAAAACCAGTGCCCATCTTAATTTATCTCCTGTGCAGGATTTAGTGCAGCTGGCCTGATCTCAACGGGCTGTGTCCCAAGATCTGAAGTGGGCTAAACTTCCAGGTCTGCTGGCTTTCACAAAACTGCACTGGAAGAGAAGTTCTGCCGTAGAAAGCTGAGAAACAGCACTTTGCTTTGCAGTGTGTGTGAGGCTGAAAGCAGACGTGAGCGTGTGAAGACTGAGACTGGATGTGAAGGGGCTGAGAAATGAAGGGCACGAAGCCACTGGCACTGGAGGTGTTGATGTCGATGTATTCAGGGCTGAACTGTAGGTCAGCACACTGTGGAGGTTTAGGTACCTCTCCACTTGTGTGACCCTCTCCTGTGTGTCTCCTAAAACTTGGGTGTTAAATGTGACACCTGCTCCCAAGCCTGAGGAAGCTCCTCTGAGCCTGCCTCCACCGCTGCTCTCCAGGATGCCACAGGTCATGCCCACGAGTGCCACCAGCCTGCCCGTGGCCACTGCAGGGCATGCTGCCCTCAGCTGGGACTGTGTTTGTCCCAACCCTCAAAGACCTGCAGGATTGCAGCAATGAAGAAGGGTTTTTGAGGAGATGTGAGTGCCTTTGGTTCAGGGACGTAGTGGGGGAAATACAGTGCTGAACAGCTTATTTTGGAGAGCTGGTTTTCATAGATTCATTTTCAGGTAGTTTGTGTGATGGTTCTTCACTGAGTCCCTTAGAAGTAGGACACAGATTTGAATCTGTTAAATACCAAACCTCTTTATCAGCACCAGCTGCTTGACTTCACCTTATTTGAGATCAAAGTGTGAGTCTGAACTACAGACTTATGGATTGTGGAAAAACAAAACAAAACCACCACCCCTGCTGTAGAAGAGAACAAACCCAGAAAGCACCAATGCTGCACCCAGAAACGAGCTGGAGTGGTTTCCTTGGATGTTTGTGTGGTCCCTGTGCTGAAGTTGTTGAACCTCTTATTGCATGCTTGGGCAAGCTGTGTTGGAATTGGTGTGTAAAGGAAAACACACAGTGCTGATGTGAATCACCATGAGAGGCATCTGAGCTCAAACAGCTTTTTGAACTCGTCTCGGCTGCAGAGAGGGGCCCCATCACTGTAGTGAGTCTGTCCTACGAGCTGAACGTTCTCCACCGAGCGTAAAGTCATCTTTAACCCTCCCAGAACTGGAAAGTCTCCTGGTGTTATAAGCCACTGTGGTGGGTCAAATCAAATCCTGGAGCAGTTGGTCAGAACTAGCCATCAGCTCAAAAAGCTGGAGGCCAGCAATGCAGTGGGTGCTCCGGGGAAGCCTCGTGGTGCCCGGGGAGCTCCTTCCGTGGGAGCTGTCATGGCAAAACAGCCAGTGGAGAGAGGGCAGGTTTGGGAAAGCGTAGGAGAAAGGGCTGCTTGCTTGGCCAACACCTCTGGTAACTGCTAAGTCCTCACTCCTTGTCCTACACGATGGAGATGTAAAATGAGTGCTAAGCTGTAATCTCATCTGAAATCTGAAGAGCAGCTTTCTTAGTGTGTCAGTGGCAGGGGGATGGAAGCTCTCTGATGCTTTGGAAAAGCCCTGTCAATAACTGCTATGGAAAGCAACAGCCAAATAAGTTGGTTTTTTAACAGTCCTTATTGGCAAGAAACTCGAGCTGGGGGTTGGGA